TTTTTGTGGGACACATTATTCACACAAACCCACAGATCAGTGTCCTTTGCTGGTTATCCTGGCGTCAGTGTGACTCTCTCTAGAGTCAAAAGTAATCTGCCAGACGCTACAGCGCTCCATGCAGTCACTGCCCCCAGCACAAAAAAAAAAAACGCTGACCTAGTACCTTGCATCCTTGTCACCTCCTCGATGAAGCAAAGCAGAATGTTTGTTTCTTGCTGTCTTAATCATAGACAACAATGTACACTAGTTTTACTATGGTAATAAAGTGGGAGCAGGATTTTCCTTAATTGTCCTGCTAAGTAAGAGATGTACTGTCTCTTATAAAAATACACGTTGTAACACCGCTGCAAGGAGCAGAGGTCACTTGACTTACGTGGCATAGCATCTGTGATCAATTACTCACTCTAGCAGTAAACAAGACGCTCGCCCCTTCTGAGTGGCCCCTCAGGGCTGAAAGGGGCTGAAGGGGGATGATACCCCCCTCCTGGAGAAAATTTCTCCACACCGCTTTCAGGATGAGCTTGGACTTCACTAATGAAGTAGCTCCTTAGGCGCCCATTGGATTTAAGACTGTGCCTGAGGAGCGAGTTTCATGGACAGTGTCACTCATCCTGGGAGTGAACATACTACCATAAAAATGGGATATTTTAGCCCATATACTAGACATGCTATCGCAATGTATGGCATTGCATTAAATATCTTTTAATTATCAAATGCCAACCTAAAATAACATAACATTAACCCTGTATTATCCCTGTATTAAGCCGAGTTTTATTCACTTTCAGGATCGCTAGTGGCAGTGCCGTTGTTAAGTGGTCGTCTAGGTGTGTCAGACAACCTGCTGGCTGTGGTGGGCGCCATGTCCGGCGTCATCGAGTATGTCTTCTACGGCTGCATTTCTGACTCTCGACCATATTTTATCTGGATAGGTGAGCTTCCTACTAGGGATTGTCAAGTGTAATGCTTTTATAAATAAGAGACATTTTTAAAATGAAATACTGGTGGTGGAAATTAAGGTGACCACAATCGTATTTGATCCCTCAGCTCCAGTTGCGGCTCTGCTGCTTAACTCCTGCACCATCGCTCAGCGAGCCATGATGACCAAGTTTGTCTCCAAAGATGAAATAGGTGAGTTGGATTTTGATAATTTATTTTTATGTAATTTATATTTTATACACAAATTATTTTTATATAATGTTTTTAAGCACTATTGTATTGCAAAGCAATATTAAATTTTTTTAGATTATTATTACTAAAAACCAAAATTTAAAAAGTATTGAAATGTTCTACATTTTTTAATTTGTAGGTAAAGTATCTGCGGTGTTAGGTGCCCTTGACGGCATGATGCCCATGGTAACTTCTGCCCTCTACACCGCCGTCTATCACGCCTCCGTCAGCACCTTCCCTGTAGCACATTTCTTACTGGGTGCTTCTGCCAGCGCTCTCATGATCGTCTTTTTCTGGTACGTTTCCGTTTTCGCTTTCATAGTTCAGATACAAATTGTGATTAAGTGTGAAGTATCTTTACTGGTGAATTATTTTCATGTATTAATCATGTATAATATTTTCCAACAGTATCATCATATTCGCGGATAAGTCAGGTCAATATGACGTGGAGAACGCTAAGCCTAGCATCGGTCCTCAGGTCCTGTCCGCAAACAAGGCGCCTGTGATGAGAAAAACAACTCCTGCAGGCCTGGGCCCCTGACGTGCTGGCACTGGCCCTGTCCTAAACACCCACGTTCCCCCACTCCCCCCCCCGGAACGCCCCGAGCATCATAACAACCCCACAAGGGATAGGGCTACAGAATCACATGTCACTACGCAAACACCAGGTTCCGTTTTTACAAACCACTATTTCAAGAAAACAAAAACATGAGAAGCGATGAAATAATTTTTCAAAGGACACACTAAAAACTGCTGTTAGATATCACTGAGATAGTCACCAGTCGTCCTCTGCTGTAACACTATAACAAAACAAAATCACAAGAGTAAACCCAAGAGGAAGCCTCGCTACCCCTCGTCAACAGATAACAATACACCACTATATCCGCATTCTTCTTCTTTCGGCTACTTTTAAAAGCCTATTCTAATCTAGGTACTCTTCCCCTTACCACCCATCATGAGACCAACACATTCGACTATCACCAGTACCTATTTGCTGCAATGTAAAGGAGATCATCTCAGTCCTGCCAGGAACTGAACCCGAACAATTATGGTTGTGACCCTAACCTTCAATTAGGCAGGGAAAAAAAGCAAAAAAAAAAAAAAAAGACCCTTATTTCTACAACTCAGGGTATTTTATAGGGAGGCACGTTTCCCCCTGCGCGTACCTTGTGAAGAACCCCTTTTTTTGGGCGGAACGAGTCTTTTAATATACAATCATATAAAATACAATAAGTATCTTTCCGCCACATTTGTGGTCGGTATTAATTAAAACCATTACTTTATATTTTCCCAGGAAAAATTGTTATACTAGGCGTACATTACGCTATAA